CGCATAAACACATTGCATTACACCAAATACACAAAATAATGTTCTTTTTAGCAACGTCATATGACCACTTTCAGGCTAAAGTCAAATGACTTTTTTTATTGTTGTTACATGTTTGAATAGATTAATCCTGCTCTGAATTTAGTCGGAATCCATGACACAATGAATTTAATTACCCACAATAACAACCTAACCTGAAAGACTGCTAATTTTCAACACTTTTTTTTAAGATGACTGAAAAGAGGAAAACCCAAAGTGAAGTATGGACTTACTTCACTCAGTCATTTATTTACTTTATAACAGTAAATAAATATCGGTTCTGCATATCGGTTATCGGGCACATAAACATGCAAATAATTGGTATCGGTATCGGTTATAAAATATCAATATCGGTCGATCACTAGTTAACATCCGGTCATGCATGAAAAAAAAAAATACCGTCTTGTACTGTGAAAATGGTATGATTTTGAAAACTACCGAGATATAAATTTTTGGTCATACCGCCCAGCACTAAGAAACAGTGTATTTGATCTGAATTGATCAGAACAGGTTGCCACGTAAAATTGTTCTTGATTAAAATCCACTCATCTATAATAGAGAATATATATAGATCAGTGTTAAAATCCGATTTGACATGTGCTGACACTGCACAGACTTTTAGAAACGCAAGTAGAGAGCAGTCCTCAAATACCTGAATTATGACTCTAATCTGAATCATGTCCATGAATGAAGTGATGTGGATTAAAACAAGCAGCCTAATCTGTGCTGCTAACACAAACTATGGCGCACACTTTAGCGCCTCCCTAAACTCACTCCAGCAGGACACTTTCCAGGATGTGTGAAAAGCAAACAAGTCGGGCAGCACACATGACAACACGTTATCCGGTTTATTAATCACATAAACCACCGGACTCGAGTGGTTATTAACGTATTTAATCTGTTGGAAGGACTTGTTGACTGATAGTTAGCGGCGCTGTTGCTAGCACTCTCCTGCTAGCCGCTGAGCTCAATACTGACACGCACTTTCATGTCTCTCCCTACATTTATTTAAACGCGGAATCCCTGGCTCATGGTGCGATTTATAGAGCGTGGTGGTGTCATTTCTCTGTGTTATTGTGGGGTCGATCATCTCTCACCTCTTTGGGCACAAGCTGCTTTTCTTCGCTGGGCACCATTTCCATCTGATCCTCCAGCCGCGGTCCGCTGTCAACAAGAGCTCTGCGAGTCGCTTTCGGACGCCATTCTGAGTGTGTTAGGCAAAACCAGGCAATGTCGAAGAATCAATTTTGGGGATAAAGGGCTCTTAATCCAGTTTAATCTGTGTTACTTTCTTTCTGCTTGGACTGTGAGCAAAACAGCAATCAATGGAGGAAAAATGGCCGCTACGCACTTTCGCGAGACTTCACATCAATCTGCGTCACTTCCGACAACACTCTGTCTGTGTGCGTTATGAAAGCTGAAAGTGTAAACTGGCAGTTAGTGAAATTAAAATATTGAGATGTAATTCGAGATTTTGCATGATAGTTATGAAATATAAAACTTGTCCTGAGAACACACTTCAACCTTTTGATTAAAGTTTGCTGTCATTATATAACTGACCTTTGCCTTCATGTATGACAGTGTGGTTTTATTGTGTTCACTGCTTTCCCAACACTGACATTTTAGGTAAGTGGACAGATTAGGTATTATTTTGCCTTTTTTGCCCCCAAAAATAAAAAAAAAATGTCTTTCAGTGTGAATTATATATATATATATATTATACACTGTGAGTGTTAATTATATAGCCTATATATATATATATATATAT